CAATGTGAGCAGGAAGCACAAATATGTTGAGGGATTGGCTGAGTTTGTTCAGTAAGGAGTTACTTGTAAAGAAAACTATTTGCACTACAAAAACTAACGTGTATACTTTTATTTTGTTTAAAAAAAAAAACTATAGCAGAAGTGCAGCCATGTGTCTGGTCAGATAGAAAAGTACCATTTTGTTATGTTATAAGGCTTCAGATAAGAGTTCTCACCTTTGCAGTTTTGTCTTATGATACAATATTTTAAATAAAAATAACATCCACAAATATTTCCAAAGATGTAGTTCAGCTCGTTTGAGTTTGAGACCCCTGCTGTAGATCATCACGACAATAACCCAGAGTTCTTGGTTCCAGGGGCAGGGGAATGCCGCCTCGTGGTGCTGCCGCCAGGGGAGGTGTGACTCGAGGTGGCCCAGCCAGAGGTGGCGCAGTGAGGGGTGCCCCAGCAGGCAGAGGAGGACCTCCCGCAGCACCCGCCAGGGGAGCTGTGGCACCCCGTGCCAGACTCATAGCTGGAGGACCTCCCCAGAGGATGCCACCACCGCCTCCACACCAGCACAACCCCGGTGCAGCTGCTGAAGGCTATGACGAATATGTAAGTACCACTGCCAGTGGAAATGAATTTATCCTTTCACATTTATTTTGTAGGTTTATTATTATCACACACAAACGTCACTTCTAGTGTTGTATTTGATGAGCTAGATATAAGAAATGTGCAGAGACGCCTCAGTTGTCTGTGTAGACGTTATGCTTTCAGGTTTGACGTTGCTAAATCTGACCTCTCCACTGCTCGTCTCATCTCAATAAGATCTTTCTTGACGTTCTGTTAGCTTTGAATTGCTTGTCCGTCGTCATAGGAATAAGTGATTTCAGATGCTCGAGACATAAGGGGAGCGTGTCTGCTTTTGTACAAGTGGAGTTCTTTGGGGACATCTTGACATTCATGAACAAGACTCTCCTTAAATCTCACCCTGTTTTTTCTTTTTTTTTTTTTCCTTCTCTCTCTTTCCCTCTCTGTTTCCTTCCCTCTCCAGGGCTACGATGAGAGCTACACAGACACGGCCTACGAGTCTTACGACAGCTATTACAGTCAGCCGCAGGCGTGAGTGAATCAGACGTCTCTTTGGTTTTCACCTGCTTCTCACAGAATGCACACACATCGCCTAGTTGCTAGTTTCACTTGAAATGGGATTTGAGAGCAGCAGTAATACTTTTTAGCCACTCTGCACAAATTCAGCGTTGATAGTACTTTGTGTTTCATGCTGTGGATGCCAGTGTTATTTAGAAGGACCAGCCGGGACTCAGATGTTCCATAGTAGAGAGCCAAGCTTTGATCTTATTCGTAGAAGCCAATTAGCGTCCCCCTAGACATTACAGTCAGCTGCTTGATGTTTTTCAAAGATTAAAAGTGATTTTTCTTTTTATTCTTTTTTCCCTGTTTATGACCAACAGAGAGCCAGAATATTATGACTATGGACATGGGGAGACCACAGAGTCGTACGAGTCCTATGGTAAAGAACAATTTTTTTTATTACAATAAAAGACAAACATCCTTATTGAATTGATTGAATTGCTCCTCTGTATATTTGTTATTGCGTGTTGGTGTCTGAAATATGTATGCACGTCAGCCCATAATGTCTCTGATTGTCTTTAAAAACAGTAAAAATAAATAAATAAATCATCAGCCAGATTAAATTTTCCAAAATGTGCATTGTGTCAGCTAATATTGACTTTGATTGATATCACTGTCAGCTAATAGAATGGCACCGATACTCAGATCTCTCAGCATCAGTGCCATTGTGTCACATTATTTTCTGCTGCCTAAATGTTAAACATGTTGTAATGAAGGCTGAAAAAGACAAAGCTATAAGGAAAACATTGGCATTGCCAGATGGTTATTTTAAAGATCTGAAATTGGACAAAATTTCACAAAATTGATCATCCACAATGTGATGGGACAGTTCTTCACCCTGATCCAAACTGACGGCTTTATTTCACAGTTAAATATTCTTTAACGCTAAAGTCACACTGTAGAGTTTTTGACTTCTTGTTGATGTGTTGTGACGTGTTGTAGGTGCTGTGCACGGTCAGATGTAGGATTTAGTGCTTTTCCAACATGTCCGATAAACTGAACGGTGCCACAGGGCAGCTCTAATGTGCGCTCAGTCAAAGGCTCTTTGTTAGAAATGTTGAATTATTGATGTGTCTATTTTTTTTTCCGCTTCCACTCCAGGCCAGGATGACTGGAACGGCACCCAGCGGACAACTCCAGGGAAGGCCCCTCCCCCCTCTCGAGGCGGCAAGACGACTTACCGGGAGCACCCATATCGACAGTACTGAAGCGGACTCGCCACCCTTAGTGTCGCCCTGACAAGCGCCTGTCTACCACGGCAGCTCTCGCTTTAAGAAGCCCGACAAAAGTAATTGTCTGTTTTGTCTTTGGTTTGGTCTTTTCCTACGCCGGACTTTATACAAGAGAGCAAATTGGGAACTGAAAATCGGAACTGGTTTTTGAGATTTGACCGCGAACTCCCTCCCCCACCCCTTCTTTGTCGCACCAACCAACCATCCAACCAACCAAAGCGGCTTTTAGATGGGTCAGAGATGAGAAGTTGGCGTTCTATATAGTTTTTCTTTTTCTTTGAGTTTTTTTACGTTTTGCTGTCATTTTTTCCTCTGACCCTTTTTACCCTCCTCTGGCTTTTTTGCATTGTTGATCGTTAATTTTTAATTATTTTTATTTTATTTTTTTAACTGTGTGGGAGTAGTCGTTTCTAGTTGAATTAGTGGCTCATTATCCACTTGTCTAAGGAATCCATTTTAATTGTTTTTATATACATATATATAAAGAATCTGTTGAGGGTCAGTTGCAGATTCCCATTTAGGCTACATTTCAAAATTCTGTTAATATAGCCAAATAAAAGACCTTTTAAACGTTCAGTTATGTAATATAGAAACAAACAAAAACCCAAATCCTTAAATGAAGCAAAGGCTAACTCAAGTACAATTCATTCTTGATTATGGTTTGTTGTTTAAATAGTTCTAAAACGTTGTCCATTTAGACTTAGGCAGCAATATTTGTCATTGTACTTAGAGTTTTGAAATATAGCCCTAATAGACACTGTTGAGATGGACTGTCCTCATATCCTCAATTTGTTTGTCATGTTTAAAAAGACAAAAATTAATAATTTTAAGACTGAAGACAAAATGTTTGTTTAATGAGAACACGGACGAGACCTGGTCTCACCTGTTGTGCTAAAAGAAAAAAGAAACACACGGTTCAGGTCTTGATTTTGTGATCTGACTCTACATAAACTGCATGCACAAAGTACACAAAGAAGGATTGGGACAAAAATCTCCACATGGGTCTTCTCTTTCTATAGAGAAGGGATCCTGCAGCTCAATCCGAACTCTTGTACATATTTTAAAACATCCTAACTGTACTTATTCTGCCACTAGTATCTGTACCCTCTCCATAAAATGCATTATGCTACATGTGTAAGCTTGCCTAAATAGGTTACTAAATCTGTCCAAAAGATGTTTTGCAGCAGTTTGTCAATAAAGCTTAGTTTGTTTTTTATGAAACTTAACTTGCTTTATTTGTTTCCTGTCCTAGTAAAATTCTGAAATGGCCTTTTTTAAACCAGCAGTCAGATGTAGGTGTTTTCCTTTGTTTCTCATTCAAAAGCGCTTTTTAAATCTAAATGAATGTATTGACGTCTGAAGACTTTAACCCTACTAAATGATGTCTTGATTGATTATCAAAAGAGCACAACTTATTCTTTCTCTCTCTTTCTATACTTTTTAAAAAGGACCCAGAGGTAAGACCTCTAAAATAACCTGGATAGCTTCCTAATGTGTATAGAGTTCTAAAGCATTGAATGCCTGGGTACGTATAAGACTTTTTCAATCCTCCTACCTGTGGTCGTAATCCTTAATGAGAATTGCTTTTATAGCATCTGAAAATTAACTGAGTTCAAACCACCATTCAGGTCTAGGCTTCATTGTCATGAATGACAGCTGGCGCGATGGCTACTTTAGTACAGAGTGTAATGGCAGTGCAATGGAGAGGATGGTTATAACCTAGAGAACTCCACTGTAAAGGTAACCTAACCCTAAATGTTTAATTTCTTAGTGTGTTTATCCTTTGACATAAACTTTCTGGTAAATGCGTACAATTTCTTAAAATATCATTACAGTCATGGCATCAAAAAAGAATCGACTCAAAAGTAAGAAAAACGTAACTTCCAATATCATACAGTAGTGGATTTCATGTACCAAAATAACTGTGCTGTGTACTAACAAAATATAATAGGATAGTGTTAATGCAACTCTTGCTAAAAAGAACAAAGCCAAATCTGTCATCATCTTCTGTACAGTTGAGCTGCTGTTACTTTTTTTATTTGCTGTGTAAAAGTTGCTTACTGTAATATTTCAAAAGGTTGTGCCTGTACAGAGTTATCTGAAAAAGAAAGCTTGAGTTGCATGAGCATATCTTCTCCTGTAGATGTTGCATGATCTGTCTCGAGTTTCTCCCAGTGTTTTTAGACAAGGTATTGATTTGGGGTTTGTCCTTCCTTCAGGCACAGCTATCGGTCACTGAGTGCCCGGAGACTGACGGTCGGCTGGACAGAGACCATGCAAACGTCAGGTTGGTTCGCTGCTACGCCTCACCCATTTAAGAGCTGCGCTGCTGCAGGCATCATCTAGAGCCCTGTTTTTTCTCTCTTGTATACCTCAGACAGCCATTGATGCTCTTACATCACAGCAGGAATGTGCGTCTTTGCAGATGCTGTGTTTGGAGACTGACTGATATTATTGGCTAAATGCAGACATTTACTAATATTTATGGTGTTTGGAACAACAAAATTTAAAAAGCCAGCAAACGGCTGATCTGAACAGAGCCAGATTAAAACAAATGACTACACACAAGTCTGCTGGTTTCAAATGTCTGACAGGAGGAGAGGAAAAAAATGCTGTGTTTGAATATCAGATTTTTATAGGTAGTTAACAAAAATCATTGGCTAGATACACCTTAGTTAAAGGTTATTTTGCTGTTGACAAAGACTAAAGCTAATTATTTATTCATTTGTTATTCATTGTTAACGAAGCCTACATCGTTATTTGGAGAGGTAACTGTTAAATGGTAACTGATACCCATAAAAGATAAACTGCTGATTAAACACTTGTGCATTTTTGACATGTTTAAATGACTGTTACAGAGTTGGAATTCATCCTCATAGGTTTAAAAAGCCTCTAAGTTTGTCTTGTGGTGGTTCCCATTTAAATCTTTGCAGGTTACCACAACTCTATGTGTACACACATTTCTAAAAAGCTGCACAAGAAAAGGGTTGGTTTTCTGAAGGATTTTATGAAGTACTGATGGCAAAGATTTAATGCAAAGTATTCAATTTTCAATTCGATTTTATTTATACGGCACCAAATCACAACAACAGTTGCTTTATACTGTAAGACCCTGCAATAAATACATACAGAGAGCAACCCAGCAATCATATGACCCCTATGAGCAAGCACTTTGGAGACAGTGGGAAGGAAAAACTTCCTTTTCCACTTTAGGAAAAGTCATAGTTTGAGTTAAAATAGGCTCATTAACAGTATCACTTCTGTGCGTATCTCTCAGATTCATGTGATTTGGCAACTATTGAAACGTTTGTTACAAAATAACTAAGTTTGCTAATTGGTAACATATTTTACCCTTAGTAAGAATAAATCCGCAGTCGTGTGAATCACTTGTGTCAGTTGTCATTAATAGTTATTGATGATGGATATAAATGTTATTCTGAAAGGACTCTTCTTATAATATTTATATCAGCGTAAGTGTAAGACTAGCCTGAGAGTGTCTAAACAGTTTGTAGGTAATGTTCTTAAACATTCAAAGGCACTGGTACGGCCATTTAACTCCCCACCCCCCTGCACTGCTGCAAACGCCTCTGGCTCCGTTCAGCCGGTGTAACATTATGCAGCAGCAGCACGTTCATGATATTCACAGCATTTCAAAGGTTGGTTGATTCTGATGATTGCCCGGGCTCCCGTAAGTCGCCTCTGCTTCTCACAATGCCTGTGAATTGGTGTGTGGCCGCGGCTAGCCTTCAGCAAGTCTGAGCGAGCGAGGAGAGCTCGATGCCCGTGTCGGGGTGGTCTCAGGAAAAGTGACTAATGAGGATCTGTAGCCTCACTCACTCTGACTGAAGGAAAAGAGCAGCATGAGGACTCTGGCCATTCCTGAAATGGAACGAGAGGGGTTGGGCGGGGGGTGTTTTTCTTATGATGTCCTGTCTGCACCTTGAAGGCAGGAAAAGTTGAATGATGGCTGGAAAAGTATTGCTCTGTGTTCAGGCTTTGAGAAGCTGGCAGAGAAAGTGGATAACAAAGCATTTAAGGCCACTTTAAAGGAGGTGTTTTGACAGAAAGGTCACCCACTTGTTAGAAGAATGTGCTCAATATGACTATTTTTAGGAAGAAAATCCTTTCTTTAAAAAAATTATATATATATATCAAAATCCTCTCGTTCCAGCGGCTTCAAGTCCAGGCGTCTCAGAATTGTTGGATTCCGCTTCGTGTTTCTTTCAAATTGCTGGAAAATACTCTGAATCAGAGCGCTGCGAACACATTAGCTGTTGATTGAAATGGTAATGCGCTAATCCAAAATCGGCAGTCTTGCCAATAATTATGTTTCACTTAAAATGTTGCTTAGTTACAGCAGAAGAGCTGTGCTGCTTGGCAGGAAAATGACCTTTTAATTATTGCAGCCAATGCTTAAAAATTGAATTAGAAAAGTGGCCTCGTATTTTTTTCCCCCCTTTTTCATTCTAAATTGCCGCAGAGCAGGAAACAAGGGACGACTTAGGGACATTAAGAATCAGCATTGTGTATTTACATGTCCTCTCATGCCAACATCTGTTTTGTTTTTTCCTTTTTTTTTTTGTCTTGTCTCCTCTGCAGTTGAAGCCGTGCACGGGAGCAGCTCAGCATGGTGTCGTGGTCAGACGGAGCTGAAAAGGAGTGGCCTCGAGGCCCAGTTCTGTTCCTGGCAGGGGTTGTGGGAGGTGATGGGGGTGGGTGGGGGAAGGGAAGAGGAGCAAATGGGTGGTGAGAGGTGGCCGGCTGCCATGTCATCCAAAGGAGCCAGCTGATTTAGAGGTTGGGGGGAGATGAGGAAAAAGAGAAAGGAGCCGGTTGAGACTGCAGCTGGTCAGTGAGCAGACTGAGAATCCAGAGACTCCCATTTCACGTGGACTCTTTCCTCCTATTTATATATTTCTCGTCACTATCGAATTAGAGCACATTATTCTCGTGTTAATTATTTTCAAGTCTGGAAGACGCCCACTCGAAGCCTGCGCTGATTGTGCACACTTTTGCGCGTGGCTTCCGCAGACCACCCCGTGGTCCGAGCAATGTAATTGTCACAGCCTAATTTACCATAAAATGAGCGCTCCTGTTATAGCAGGCTGTGAAATCATTTTTAATTTCCTTTAACTGTTGAGTTTGACATAAAAGGAAACTCTTACTTTCCACCAAGGCGAGCTGTATCCGTTTCACCAGCCAGCAGTTTTGTATCCCGGCACTGAATTAGAATCCAGGCTCAAGAGTTAGAAATGATCGGTGTCTCGCTGAGGACGAGTTCGCGAAACGCACTCTTGCCACCTCTCGCACGAGCCCCATGCGACGCCGCGGATAATGAATGCTAATGCTAAGCACATGCAAATGCTTCCTATTTGCATGTGCTTGCATGTACCCTCGCCGCGTATGTGAAAGGCTTTCATAAGCAGCGCTGGCCTGTTCTTTGCAGTTCAGCATCCAAGAATTTGAATTCGACGAGATGGAGTCGCATGTGAGAAAGGGACAGAGGGTGAAGGCAGACATTACTAACATCCCTGCCATCCATCCATCTATCCATCATGCTTGTGTTGATTTGATTCCCCTCTCTGCCATTTTCTGCCATTATCACTGATGATATTACAGCTGCCTGTGGTGCTGAGTTACATTTAGAGGTCAAAACTGTACTTTCCTGTATTAAAAACAAATTTGTGTCCCGATCCGCTGGTCAGAGGCAGCATTAGCCAAGTCAGAGGCTCCATTTCGTTTATTGAAAAAGCCAGCAGCTCTGAGGATAGAACATTAGATATTAGGATAGAAACCATCATTTGAGATGAAATGTCAACGGGCCATAGCCAAAACAGACCATTTTTCAGTCTTTATGTGCCATTATGTCTAAAATAATGATTTCTGCGTCTCCTGTAATCTAATGAAAGATGAGTGATGGTGTGGAAGCCGCTTCCTTTGTTTGGATCGATGGAACTGTCAAAAGTGTGAGGTTTGGAAGTAAATACTACTGTGCATTGATCAATAAAGGTTGACTTGAATATAAAAGAGCTGTGTATCGGTCATCTGCATAGGTGTAGCTTCTGGGAGGGAGGGGTGGGCACAGACATCACATCCCGCTAGTAGGGGGAGCCCCCCCTCCCCTCCAACAAACTAGTCTATTCCCAATCTGGTGATGTCACAATATCAGGTTATAATTACCATAAATGTTTTCAGTCAAAATTGTTCTTCTAGTGTTTCATAGAAGTTTTTCACTTCAACTGGTTGGGTGCAGTGTGGTTACAACAACAGACTATACGAAGAGTGGAAGTCTCTGTGATGCTGTCTCCTGCTGGGTTTGAAGTCTGCATTTTGAAGCATCAACTTTGGTGACTTTTGGAGTCAGACGGCATCAGATTTGGATGAGAGGTAGAACAACAGTTAACTGAAGCTAGCAAGCTTGGTTAGCAACCTGCTGCCATAAACTGTACAATGCTACAGATTTATACATCCTAACTTCTGGATGCAGCAGGCCAATAACATGAGCATACAATTTTCACTAAAACCCAAACTTTTGTTTTAAATAATGACATTAAGATGGTCAGCAAAAGGCCAACAGCTACTTAAATCATTCACATTACACGAGGTCAGACCTAGCAAACGCCAATCAGCTACAGCTGCCTGTGTTGAGAAAACGGTTCCAACACTTCCTCAACTCGAATGTCAGGTGGAATAATTTCCAAAAAAATAACCCACAGTTAGAAGGGGTCAATTAAAATTAACTTTTCTGTTTTTTGTCAGTTTGTCAGCTCAAAAACAAAGCAAACTTGGCCTTTTTATTTATTTTCTCTTTTTTTTTAATATTTTATCACAGATTATATAAATAATAAATCAGGGGAAAATAGCAATTAAAAATATATAAGAATGTAAAAAGCAATTTTAAAAACAAAACCAAACCAAACTTGGTTAAACCAGCATAAATAAATGTCACTGATACACAGTACTTTAATACAGCTGGCAAACTGCAATGACTCAGTCATGCCAGCCTCAAGGTGTAAAGACGCCTGTGAGTCAAGCAGCAGCGTGTTAGCCCAGAGATGGAGAGAAGCCAGGAAGCAGCAGAAGTGTCGGCACCAGGGTGGAAGAACTGGACGGCAACTATCTGACAGAAGGCGGCATTTGGATCACATTGCTGTTTAATGAAAGAAAGAAACTATGAAAGAGAGAGGTGCATTTTTACCCAGAACAGCTGCACTTCGGTAACATGTTCGCAACACACAGGTTGTAAGATGCACCAGAGGAAGCAAGGACATTAAACCTAAACATTGGGCCACTTCAACAGGCTTTACAGCAAATTCAAAGATGAACAGGATCTGAACTACATCATAAATCAGTATATATAATCACGACTACAAACACTACATAGTGTAGTTCACAAAGCTCAGGTAATTTTATTAAGATAGATGCTTGAGCGTGGTTGTTGAAGAAATTGCCAAGTGTGCTTTTATATTACTTTAACTTTACCTAATTAAATAAAGTCTTCCACACATTGACCATTTCCTGTGCTTTGATTGGTGACAAAACTGCAGCTGTATGTGAGTTTGCAGGTCTGTTGTTCAAAGGCTGCCTCACCTTGTGTAAGTTAAGAGACTCCATTCTTCAAGTGCAGGAGTGTTGTTGATAGTTTCCTAACTAATGTTGCCCGTTTATGTTTTTCATACTTTGGTGAGTTAAGACAGTGATAAAATGGCAAAAAGACAAACTGCTATCAGTCTGTAATTTATGATTGAACTGGGTAAAGATGGCAATTCCTTGTTGTTTTTAATAACATGGTGACTGATGGAACTGAAAACGTCCATTACCTTCGTGCACTCAGATTTAAACTAGAACCTTGTAGATGTAAAACAGAAATAACTCAACAAATAGTTCAATTCTAAATTACTTAAATAGTGCCAAATCCCAGCAACAGTCACCTCAATGTGCTTTATACTGTAAGTTAAAGGAGAAACCCCAACAATCAGATCAGACCCTAATGAGCAAACACTTGGCGTCAGTGGGACGGAAAACCTCCCTTTTAACAGGAAGACACCGTCAGCAGAACTGTGCTCAGGGAGGAACAGCGATCTGTTGGAGGTTAGGGGAGGGACTCGGGACAAAAGACACACTATGGAATACAGCCAAAACAAAGGGTGACATAAGCTGCTGCCGGACAGTAACTTAACCAGAATACAACCATCTGGCAATCACTTGAGTGCCTATCCCAAATAATTAATTGCAACATGTTGGTAATCTGTCTGCATTAATAAATTAGAAAGCAAAGGTTTGGCAGCTTATCTGAGAGTGCAGTCAGTCCAACTTGGACTGTGATTGTTTGGAGACAACTTGCCTCCCACCCGGCAATCTTCTTGCAACCAGTCTCCTACAACAAAAGTGCAATCACTGAACAACCACCGATTTTTTTCCCTTTCATTGCAAAGAGGTTGCCAACCTGCCTTTACTCTAGTGTTACTGAGCCATTACTGTTGAAGCTGAGAGTGGAAGAAAGGCAGTGAGACAAAAAGACCTGTGTCCTTCAACTGTCCTTTTTGACGTGAGGAGGTAACGCAAACACATTTACTAACCCAAGCAAAATACAGTCATCAAATTGTTTTGACCCCAACAAGAAAGAAAAGCAAACCCTGTCTGTATATGTGCATGTGGACATCTGTGATCTCCGTGCAGCTGTCTGTGTCACACACAGCCCCGTGGATACTGCCCGCCTTTATAGTCAACTGGCGCTCTGTGATCACATGTGGCAGAACAAGATGGATGGAATAAGCAAGAGACAGGAGGCAAGACCGTCCTGTCTTATTCAGGGTGGGTGGATGTGTTAAAATGCTCTGAGTGTGTGTTAGAGGTGGAGATACTGTGGGCAGATATGTTGGACAGCTGGATTGAATCTTCTGGTCCTGACGGATTCACACCATCAGAGGAACATCGCACGCTGATGCCTGTGAAGACAGTGACAATCAGCCTCCTCCAGATACACATCAGCTGCTGTTTCCTCAGCAAAGGCAATAATCTAGGTGACTGATGGTGCTTGGAGTGAGATGGGATGAACCTCTGAGGGTCATTGATGTTTCAGGGGAATTGAAGATGTGTACAAGTGGTTTCTATAAGTCTGTGTCCTCACGTTCATGTTAAATGGGTAGAAAAAGGCTCAGATGATGGGCCTCAAAAGTATACAACGGAGGGTAGTTGACAGGCACCTTAGGGCGCTTTACATTGTAACATAAAGACCCCACGATAATACAGGGTGGGCCATTTATATGAATACACTGTAATAAAATGGGAATGGTTGGTGATATTAAAGTCCTGTTTGTGGCACATTAGTATATGTGAGGGGGCAAACTCCTCAAGATGGGTGGTGACCATGGTGGCCATTTAGAAGTCGGCCATCTTGGATACAACTTTTGTTTTTTCAATAGGAAGAGGGCCATGTGACACATCAAACTTATTGGTAATGTCACAAGAAAAACAATGGTGTGCTTGGTTTCAACGTAACTTTATTCTTTCATGAGTTATTTACAAGTTTCTGACCACTTATAAAATGTGTTCAATGTGCTGCCCATTGTGTTGGATTGTCAATGCAACCCTCTTCTCCCACTCTTCACACACTGATAGCAACACCGCAGGAGAAATGCCAGCACAGGCATCCAGTATCCGTAGTTTCAGGTGCTGCACATCTCGTATCTTCACACCATAGACAATTGCCTTCAGATGACCCCAAAGATAAAAGTCTAAGGGGGTCAGATCGGGAGACCTTGGGGGCCATTCAACTGGCCCATGACGACCAATCCACTTTCCAGGAAACTGTTCATCTAGGAATGCTCGGACCTGGCACCCATAATGTGGTGGTGCACCATCTTGCTGGAAAAACTCAGGGAACGTGCCAGCTTCAGTGCATAAAGAGGGAAACACATCATCATGTAGCAATTTCAACCAATAGCGGTGGTTTTGTTTGTTAACTTCACCATTCACATAAAAGTTTGCCTCATCACTGAACAAAATCTTCTGCGTGAACTGAGGGTCCTGTTCCAATTTTTGTTTTGCCCATTCTGCAAATTCTGTGCGCCGATCTGGGTCATCCTCGTTGAGATGCTGCAGTAGCTGGAGTTTGTAAGGGTGCCATTTGTGAGTAGCTAATATCTGCCGAAGGGATGTTCGACTAATGCCACTCTCCAGTGACATGCGGCGAGTGCTACGCTGTGGGCTCTTGCTGAATGAAGCTAGGACAGCCACTGATGTTTCTTCATTAGTGACAGTTTTCTTGCGTCCACATTTTGGCAAATCCAACACTGAACCAGTTTCACGAAACTTAGCAAGCAGTTTGCTAACTGTAGCATGGGAGATGGGTGGTCTCGTAGGGTGTCTTGCATTGAAATCTGCTGCAATGACCCGGTTACTGCGTTCACCAGATATCAACACAATTTCGATCCGCTCCTCACGTGTTAACCTCTTCGACATGTCAATGGCTGTGAACAAAGAGAAACTTGTAAATAACTCATGAAAGAATAAAGTTACATTGAAACCAAGCACACCATTGTTTTTCATGTGGCATTACCAATAAGTTTGATGTGTCACATGGTCCTCTTCCTATTGAAAAAAAAGGTGTATCCAAGATGGCCGACTTCTAAATGGCCATCATGGTCACCACCCATCTGGAGGAGTTTGCCCCCTCACATATACTAATGTGCCACAAACAGGACTTTAATATCACCAACCATTCCCATGTTATTACGGTGTATCCATATAAATGGCCCACCCTGTACAGAGAAAACCACAACAGTCAAGCAACCCGTGGGTAAGCACTTGGCAACAGTGGGAAGGAAAACATCCCTTTTAACAGGAAGTAGCCTGCAGCAGAACCAGGCTCAGGCAGGGGCAGCTATTTGCTGGGGTGGGAGGAGGGAGATGGGACAAAAGACTTTGCACTGCAGAGTAAGAGGTTAATAATAACTAATGATTAAATGCAAAGTGGTCTATAAACACATGAACATTCATGGTGGTAGCCACACTGTTCCAGGTGC